TTTGAGAGATCCTCTTTTTTAAATTCCTGAAAATAAAAATATCACAGGTTACCACTGACTGATGGTATTTTATTCTGAGAGCGAGCGAGCATGTTTTTCTCTCATTCCTCAGTCCCTTTCATGTTGTTAAATTTATTGGGGAGACATTGGTCAACATGAATATAGAGGTTTCAGGTTTGGGTTTCTGTTACAAGATCTGTATATTGCACCATGTGTTCACTACCCAAAGTCAAATCTGTCACCATATATTAGGACTGCTTTTCCCCTTAACCCCCTTTTCATGTTTTTTTTTAAAAATATATTTTATTGATTTTGTACACAGGAAGGGAGAGGGATAGAGAGTTAGAAACATCGATGAGAGAGAGACATCAATGAGCTGCCTCCTGCACACATCCTATTGGGGATGTGCCCGCAACCAAGGTACATGCCCTTGACCGGAATTGAACCTGGGACCTTTCAGTCCGCAGGCCGATGCTCTGTCCACTGAGCCAAACTGGTTAGGGCCCTTTTCATGTTCTTAACTGCTACCCAGAAATTCAGCTCTGGAAGATGAAGTGAGGATGGCCTTTGACAGGAAATCATTTCTCTAATCTGTAGCGTAATGTAGTTTCTAAAATATGGCTATAAAAACCATGAAAGTAAGTTGATTCTCGAATGGTTGATTATCTGGAACTCAGCATTGACAAAAAATATATATTGTTGCCTTGTAAGCATTGGTTTGAGCCATTAATTACCATTAGTGGGAATGTGGGAGAGATCTCACATACACTTCTCTCTCCAGCTGTGAAGATATGCTCTCAAAACCTGGCACAGGGCTATTTTTTATAATTGAATTAATACCTTATGGGCAAAATAATCCTATGCTCATAAAAGTATGTATAGTTGATAGAAAGCAGATGTCATATTTATACTTTGCAAATGAAAACTAACACTGTAGAATTCATTGCTGGTGCATATTATGTGTTCAATAAGTACTATTATTTTGTTAATGTTTTTTAAAAAATATATATTTTATTGATTTTTTACAGAGGAAGAGAGATAGAGAGTTAGAAACATCGATGAGAGAGAAACATCAATCAGCTGCCTCCTGCACATCCCCCACTGGGGAAGTGCCCACAACCCAGGTACATGCCCTTGACCGGAATCGAACCTAGGACCTTTCAGTCCGCAGGCCGACGCTCTATCCACTGAGCCAAATCGGTTTCGGCAGTTTTTGTTTTTTTAAAAAATACTTTTGTTGATTTCAGAGAGGAAGGGAGAGGAAAAGAGAAACATCAATGAAGAGAGAGAATCATTGATCGCCTGCCTCCTGCATGCCCACTATTGGGGTTTGAGCCTGAAACCCCAGCATATGCCCTTGACTGGAATCGAACCCAGGACCCCAGTCTGAAGGCCGGCGCTCTATCCACTGAGCCAAACCAGCTAGGGCAGATTAATGTATTTTAATCAATCTTTGCCCATTAGAAACTTTAGGAAATTCTTGATTATATAGGTATTTAGCATAATATTTATACAGTCCTATTTTTGGAGTCCTGAGTGGAGATTAGAGAGGATAAGGAGAGTTTTCTTGAGGACAAAATGGTAAAACAAGGGTGAAAGGTGTCTTAAAAGTATTTTGTAAACACTTTCTAAAATGGAATGGGCACAACTCTTGTTTTTAATCCTCGGGATTAGAGAGGATTCCATTTTCACTTCCTGGGGGAAAGGGAAGGAAAACCCTTTCCGCAAGTAAGCACACCTTAGTGAACACTACAGAATTCATACTGGAGAAAGGCCTTGTGAATGTATTGAATGTGGGAAATCCTTTAGGCACAGTTCAGCACTTGTTCGACATCAGAAGCTTCATGCTGGAGAATAAAACTTGGATATAACCAGTGTGGAAAAACTTGTGTGAAAACCCCATTTTCCCCTAAATTCTTAGGAGCTGGAATGAATATTTTGTATGTTGAGCAAGAGGCAGTGTCCTAAAAGTTAAGGAAATTGACTCAGTACCAGATAGACTTGTTTGATACCCTCTGCCACTTCCTGCTTATATGACCTTATCCTCCCCGAGCCTCAGTTCCCCCCCAATCCTTCCCCCCCCCCCTCTACTAAAAGAATGACGACGATACTTGCTAGGGTTGTCTTGAGAATGAAATGGGCTACATATAATAAGGAACTGCCATTAATTGGTTTTTAGTTATAGATGTTCCAAAAGTTTATAAATGTGGCTATTAAAAACAAGCAAAGTTCAGTATTAGTTTTGTAGTTCTTATAGTGTATTTTTTCTTATGAACATTCTTGACATTCCTGTGCCATTGCCACATCCAAGGATTTTGAACACTTCAGTACTGAACATGGGTTGCCCTTGATGAGCCCCATCCTTGAAGGCCCTGGAAAGATCTTGGCCTTTGGAAGTGATGTGCCCTTCTCAGTGCATTATATCAGTCATGATGGCAATACGACTTATTACTGGTAATGGCACCTTTGATCATTCAGATAAGGCGGGAGCTCTCTGGTTTCTTCTAGGAAGTTTCCTTTTGTAATTAATAAGTATATTGGGGAGAGATATTTTCTGTCTCTTCTTCCAGCTTCCTGATTGCTGGCATTCTTTCGCTTGTAGCTACTTCATTCCAATCTCTGCCTCTGTCTTCACATTGCTTTATCTAATCTCCCTCTACCCAATGGCTTTTGGATAATCTTTCTATCTTGAGAGACTTAGTCACATGGAAGATAACATCCACAGGTTCCAGGGAGTAGGACCTATCTCTTTGGAGGCTGCCATCCAGCCCACTGTAACTTATTACTGTGCAACTGGCCAAATGGTGATTCTCTAATTCCACCATTCCTTCTACTCCCTCACTTAATAGTTTATTTATAGCCATAAGAACTTTTATTCTGAGCTGCAATCTACTATGATTTATTTTCTCTTTAGGTAGTTCCAGATCTGGCCATTGATAATTAATGTCCTACCAGAAAGACCTATCCCTTCTCCTCCACTTATGTCCTTTTGACATGTGCCCATTATTCTTTGAGCACCATCTTACTTTAAAAAAATACATTTATTGATTTCAGAGAGGAAGGGAGAATGATAGAAACATCAATGAAAATCATTGATCGGCTGTCTCCTGCACGCCCCCTACTGGGAATCGAGCCCACAACCCGGGCATGTGCCCTTGGCCAGAATCGAACCTGGGACCCTTCAGTCCACAGGCTGACACTATCCACTGAGCCAAACCAGCTAGGGCACCATCTTTCTTTTGGGCACAAGATAATTCTAGGCTTCTCTTCCATCTCTGTCTCCACTCTGGAATCACATTATTGGCCTACTTGTCTAGTCCTAGTCATAAGACCCATTCATAAGGAGCAATGGGGGCAGGTCACAAGGAAGATTAGGCCCAAACTCACCTTTTTCTCAGCAAAACAGATCCTGCAGTTAACAGAACCCACTGTAATTAGCAGTTTGCAGAAGAAGTAGTAATTTTCTTAAGGGTGCTCAGATCTCATAGGCCACTGTATCTTGGCCTTTCATCACAAGATGTGCTTCCTGGCTGTTAACTCTTAACACTATATTGTTAGAAATATCACCTATGGTAAAGACTTCATCAATAGGATAAATTTCAAGATTTAAGGCCTTTTAAACAGTCTCTCATACTATTTGTTTAAATTTTTAATTTCACTTATGTAGTTCTAATATAATAGGCTTTCTCAGTATTTCTCAAATTTGACTGAGCATCAGAACCACCTGGCAGGCTTGTTACAGAGAATTCTGGGTCCTACTCATGTTTCAGATTCACTAGGCAATGCCTGATAATTTGCATTTTTAAGTTCCCAAGGTGTGCTGATGCCAACAGTCCAGGATCCACATTTTTTGAACCACTGGTGTATTAAAAAAACAAAACAAAAACACATTAAGGAAACACTCTCATTCATTCTAACTATATTTGTAATCCTCTTAATATGCTAGGTAGCCGAAACGGGTTTGGCTCAGTGGATAGAACGTCGGCCTGCGGACTGAAAGGTCCCAGGTTCGATTCCGGTCAAGGGCATGTACCTTGGTTGTGGGCACATCCCCAGTAGGAGATGTGCAGGAGGCAGATCATCGATGTTTCTCTCTCATCGATGTTTCTAACTCTCTATCTCTCTCCTTTCCTCTCTGTAAAAAGTCAATAAAATATAAATTTTAGAAAAAATATGCTAGGTATTGTTCTGGGTACCGAGGATATAGTGATGAGTAAAGTCCTTGCCCTCAAGATTCCAACCTCTGTACTAAGACATTAAAATTTACAATAATTAAAACAGTGATGTTGGTACCAATTATAAATATAGCAATGATATGGATTAGAAAAATACTTGTCTTTATAACAAGTGAGTCTACATTAAAGACAGTATTACAGAATGGCTTCAGGCCTAGTTTGTACAATTTAGAGACAAATGGGCTCCCTAGCCCACTCACACGAAATCACTTTTAAATCTTCTTTAAACTAGATCTTAAAATGGGAAAAAGATAGATGTGGCACCAAATTCATGATATGGATGTGCTGAAATTCATAATTCATGATGGTTGTGCCTGGTGAAGGATGGGATCTTGGCAAGTCTCCAGTTTTGGCCGACTTGCAGTAACGAGGAAAATTGTTAGGCTATTAGGCATGATCTTGAAAGGCTCTCACTTTACTGTGCTTCTCTCCTTTCCCTCCCCCCCAAAATGAGAGAAATCTCTTGTTCAGATGTTCTTTCAAGTAAGAGAGAAACATGTGGTTCTAGGACAATTTTAATTATTCAAGAAAAAAAATATACCAAAGTAACTTCC